TTCAGGATTATAATCCTCAGGGTAAGCAAGAATTGGACTTCACTCTGAGTCCGTCCCTATGTTCAATACAATACAAAAGACAATGATATAACGTGACCTAACAGATATATTATATTGCACTCATACTTATCTATTTTATATATAAACAATTGCTTCCATTGAACTCCAAAAAAGGAAAGTAAAGAGTTCTAATCAATATCCCAACATAAACACATATTTCGTCTCCACTCTCCTTGCACACACATACAATATTACTGCAATTATGCTGTTGCTTCAACAAGCCACAAACGACTGCACTGAATTCGTAAATTTATTTGATACTTCCTGAATACTTTTTTATATCCTGTTTCCTACCTTCCTTTTTTAATTTTCTTGCTGAAACCAGTTCAGCATTAGAAACGCCATGTAAAGCAGAAAAAATGTTGACGAGAACTGCAGCAGCTGTAGGAGAGTACACAGCTATAATGTGTTGTAGTGAGTTGTCTGCCGTTACATGAGCATAACTCCCTACCAAATCAACTAACTGTTTTTAAGGGGTGGGGTGCGGTTAAATATAGAGCGCAACAAATTTCTATATACGACGCTTTAAGCCTTTAAAAATAGCAGAAAATTATTTTTTTTTTGGTTTTTGTTTTTTCGTTTTTTGTTTTTTGTTTTTTCGATTCGTGCGGCATTTAACGTGTGCGACAGCTTTTGATCTGTCAAATGCCAAACAGAAAATCAAATAAAAATAAAATTGAAGCAGACGAGTTGAGACGAGACGAGACGAGCAGCGTTGAAAAGCGAAGCGACATCAACAGTATGGGGAAAAGGTAAGCAGACAGTCAAGGCAGCAGCCAACCAGCCGGCAGAGCACTTTAAAGTTCATACAAAGTCAACCCCTTTTATGACATTTAAGCTGCTGAAGTTGATTTGGTTTTCTTTCTGTTTTTTTTTTATGTTGCTGTTGTTGTTATTGCTGCTGCTGCTGTTACTTTTGTTGTTGGTTTAAAATTTTTCTATGCAAGCCTGAATTTTCCTTTTATTTTTAGCTATGAATTTGTTGCTTTTGTTGTTTTTGTTTTAACAGTTGATTTGACTGCGATGGATTCGTTATGTTAGATTATTACGCTTAAATACGCAATTTTTAGGGAAATGAAAAAAACGTCAGCTATGGCAGCAATGAAATTTGCTAAACGCACAAAACATGTATTTTCAATTTCGAAAAAGGACATTTAAATACATGTATAGTCGCATATGTGTGTTTGTGTTTGTGTGTGTATAAATGTAAAGTCTATTCCCAATATGAAAACAACACAACAAAATTTGTCAAAGCATTTAGTTGGGAAATTGTTGTTGTTTTTAAAAAATGCCTTTAACAACTAAAACAGCAACAACAACAACAACAAAAACAACAGCAACACCAAGTTTTGAGAAATAAACACATAAGTGCTATGGTGTGGCACAGGTTAGTGGTATGGGGGAGCGTATAATAAATTTTGATACAATTGCTTTAGTATGCAGCATAAGCGTTTGTTGGTTGTTTGATTGGTAAGTAGCAGTGAGTTGGTGGGAGGGGAGCGGGTGGTGATTGTGATGGTGTGTACGACGTGTGCGGTGTGAGCGGTTCGTGCAGTAATATTCAAAAACATAAGTTGTTAAAACGGAAACGGAAATGCGTGTTTTACTGAGACAGCAAAAAAAGACATAAGAAAATAAATTGAAAAAAATCCAAAACAACAACAGGAAAAAAAAAATGAAAACACGACAACTTGCAGATGGAAATCAGAGTAAAAAACCAGTGCAAAGGAGGAAAAAAAATAAAATGAATTAAGTTTCAAAGTCAGCGGAAAAAACAATGGGAAGCAACTGGCAACTAAGGAAAAGTGAAATTGCAAAATATGTGAAAACAAAAAAAAAAATGTTAAGAAAAACAATTACAATTTAGCCAAAACAAAAATGAAAATGCAAAACATTTATAAAAGCAGTTAAAGTTAATATACAAGCAACACATATAATTCCCCCCCAAAAAAATACAAGAAAAAAAATTAAAGAAAAAAGTCAGCAAGTGGTCCGACGAAAAAACCACACCACTGACTCGCCAAACGACTGACCGAATGAGCGAATGAGTGAGCAACTGACGAGGCAAGTAACACTGAAATTTACTACATTAAGGGGAAACTTAAAGCGGAAATGACGTAAATATGACTAAAGTTACTGTTACTTTTGGGGCTTATCATGCTATTGCCAAAGCACTACTCACCGCTGACGTTGACGATGGCGATTACGGCGACGCTGCCGTCGCTGCCATCGCTGCCACTATCGCAACTACTGGTTCTTCGCCTTTAAAGTAAGTAGAGGCGATGTGGGGAGATTGAATACTGCTTTGCTGGTCCTTTTGTGCTTGCCATGTTTTTCTTTGTGTTAAGGGGGCGATTTAGGGTTTACGGGTGTGTGGCATGTGGCATGAGGTATGAGGCAAGAGGCAAGTAGTGAGCAGTAAGTAGCAAGGAACAACAAGCAAGTGGCAAGTAGCAAGTGGCATGTGGCAGTACATAATGTTGTGTTGCCACTCGAGTTTGAACAAAGTAATAAATTTATCGGATTGTTGACAAATGGCAAACAGGTGTTGTTGATTATCGTTTGGATCGCGTTTAAATTTTTTTCTTTCCTTGCCATTGCCATTCATTTTCCTTCAGATTTTCATTTTTATTTTTGCTTTCGCAAGCAACAGATTTTTCCCTGCCAAGTATTCTGCTTTTGTTATATTTTTTATCGCTTATCGTTTAATATATAGTTAAGATAGTGAGTAATAAAAGAAATTGCTCTAGATATTATATATATTGCCTTTACTTTGCTTGAAGTGCACTATAAGAAGTTTTACTTTATAATAATCTGATATGTTTTAAATGCAAGATAATTATTTCCCAGAAAAAGAATTACATGGAAAAATTGAAGTAGTTTTTTTATAGTAATTTTTTAATTACTATTAACTTATAATTTTATAATATTTTAGTGCTGTTAGCTGACACTTATTTTTGTTAGTTTTATTTTTTTTTTTATAGTTGTTAAGCGACAATATTATATTTTAAGAGTTTTTAGTTAGTTTATTAATGCTGTTACCTAGCTTTTGGTCTTTCTTAACTTAAATATATGAATTTCATAAAGTTTTCGAGGATTGCTAAAAATCGAGATTTGGTTGTAAGAAAGTCCGAAACGTTTCTTTTTCTTTTTTATTTTAAGTGAAGCGGAAGACCTAGAGTATAAAATTACATAGCTCTGCTTTTCCAATGAAAGCCCAGAACTATTACGTCCAATGTATGTATTTTGTATTAAATGCGTAAAATCTAATATAAAATATTGAAATTGTGAGATAGATTATATTAGATATTATTTCATATAAATAAATTTTAAAATTAATTAAGAATTTATTAAAGCAATTTTCCAATCTGTGATTCTTTTAAATGCAGTTAACATATGGGTTTAAAAATTTATATTATTGTTCAAAATTCTTATTAATTTATAATTATTCTTATGAAAATAAATCTTTATTAATTTAATTACTGTTATTTAATAAATATATAGATTTAATACAAATTGTTTACATTTAAAATTGATATATAAAAGATTATATGTGATCGGTTTTGTTAAAATTATTAATATTAACTCAATATATTAAATTAAATTATTAAGTTAAAATTAAATAAATTTTTTTTTTTTGGTTATAAGTAATCATTAATAATTTTTTATTTATTGATATATAATACAAATAAATAAAAAATTATTTTTGATTATTCTAATTAACTTGCTTTGGTAATAGATATGATATATAGATAATGTACATGTTACCATATATTTAATTTAACTTTTAAGTTAAAATTTATGTATATAAAATTATTTTTATATTTATTTCTTTTTTGGTCATTGATTATAAAAAACTATTAATTATTTTTTATTCATGTGTATTATTATTTATATATTATTTTTAATATTATTAAATATTCGACGAGATTTTTATTAGGTATATTTAATTATTTAATATATATATATTAAAATTTAAATTAAATTATTCTTTTTTATTGATTATGCATAATTTTTAATTATTTTTTTTTATTTATATATAATGTAGATATAATATGATATGATATACTTTTAAAATAAATTTTAGAAAAAAAATAGGGAAAAAATAAAATGTTTTAAGTCTTTTGTATTATTAAAATAATAATAATCTTTAACAAAATTATTTTGTTATTAGTAGTTTACAGATATATTAATGCCATCATACTAATAATTTAAATGCCCCACTTAAATTAGTATAGGTATTAACTGCGCCCCAATCTTCAGTTGTGGGTCTCCAAGACTTTGAATTTTTATTATCCTGAATACTATTTGTTACTGAATACTATTGAGACTGAAGTTTTTTTGTATAAATAGGCTATTTAAAATCTCATTGAGGTTAATTAAGCTAGAAAGGACCTTCTTAAGTTTACGGTATCGTATCATTTAGTTTTCCTAAATTAATAAGGTATTATGTGGTAATTTAAAATATATATCATGGCTGTTATATTTGATATGCAAGTTTAGATTAGATTGAAGCAATTAGTTATTTAAGGTTAGTCCTTAAACAAAACCCAAATTGAATAAAATTTTTTCTTGCTATATAAAATATTTTTTGATTATTAACTTGAAATCAAATAATAAAATAATTTATAATATAGGATTACAAGTCATTAAAATATCTTTTGATTTTTTAAGGTCCAATCAAATGAAATAATAGTTCTTAATACTATACAAAATATTCTTTGATAATTTGATCTCCAACCCAAAGGAATAAAAGTTTTTCATACTATATAAATATACTCTGATTATTTAGTGCAGATCATATAATTATTATTATAGTTCAGTAAAACTAGATATGTTTGTGCTAAGGGCAAAAGCTTATTTTGTAAGTAATGGTAATGGGATCGAAAGGTAGTATATAGATTTCTAAATATAAAGATATTCTTAATTTAAAAACTTACCGTTATATAAAGTAGTTGAACCGCGCGTTGCCGCCTCTGGTGAGTGTGGCGGTGGACTTGGCGCTGTGGCACCAGCAGTTGGTGACGATGGACCCCAGCACGTAGCAGCAGGAGTTGTGCCGTTAGTGGTGGCTGTGCGCTGCTGTTCTGTTTTGTTGCTGTTAACGTTGATGATAACGGTTGTGGCAGCAGTTGTCGCTGTTGTTACCACAGCATTGTCACCGACAACGTCAATCTCTTCGTCGTCATCAATTGTGGAGCGACGTGATTTGGTTGTGGCCAGCACTCCGGCTGTCTGTATCGTTGGAGTTGGAGTTGGAGAGTGCGGTTCACGTTTATTGACAATTTGTATGCTTATATCCGGTTGCTGTTGCTGTTGCTGCTGCTGTTGATCTTGTGAGTGATTGCTGTTTGTTGTTGTGTCGTCAGTGCGATCGGGCCAAGGATATGCCTTCCATTTTTTCGCCATTAAACAGCGGGGCATTTTAACCAGTTAAACAACCAAAATGAAAATAAAATTTTTAAATAAAATTTTTACCGGCAAAGTTTTGTGTAGTAAAGCGCGTCGTTGCAGTTTAGTTCAGTATTATATGATGAATATATATGAAAAAAATATATATATAATATGATTTTTTTTAATTTTCGTTCGAGCCAAAGTAAATAGCGTTTCTGGCCAACTTGTCTGAGTCGCCAAATTGTGAAGCGGAAGTGGAAATAGTTTTTGGTTTGTGTTTGTTGCGCTCGACGAATTCTAGAGTCTTTATGTACTAAGCTTTAGGCATATGAAGCAGATATTTTGCACAATTAGAGTTTCAGGAAGGTTCACTTTGAGTTGTTAACTTTGGTTTAATTTTAATTCAGAGTTCAGAGTTTTTTAGTTATTACAGCCGCCGCCTTCAGGATGTTAAAGTTTCTTGTTATTTCTCGATTTTTGTTAAAGTTCGCTGCCATAACGAGTGGAGTTTTGTGCTTGAGTAGTTTAGCAAACTTTATTTTATTTATTTATTTATTTTTTTTTTTGTTAAAACTGAAACTTGAGTTTTTGTTTAACGTTTGATGCACTTCTTTTTAAAAATTTAATTACTTTTGTATCGATTTTCAAACTTTTCACACAGAGTCTTGTACAATTTCACTGGATCATTTATTTAGCTTTGTTAGTTTTTAAAGTTCAACAGAATTTTCATGTGTTTTAGTTGTTAAGTTGGAAAATAATATGTAAACAGGAAGTCGGAAATGTTGAAATTTAAGTTTGGAAATTATTTATTAAAACTGCTTTAGTAGTTTTGCTTTGATTTTTGTTTGTAACTTGTTGTGCTTTGAGTTTAAAAATTGTTGATATTCGTTGTTTTTTTATTTGTTGTTATTTTTAAATAAAAATAGTTATAGTGAAATTATAAAAGGATTGATTAAGGGAAAAACTGAAGAATCCGTACAAGAGAATATTATGTAAGAGAGAAGAGAAATGCGAACCGAACCGAAGCAACCCTTGGAGGTTTATGAAAATACTGCACGTCGGTGTGCTGCCTTTTATACGATACTTCTCCCGAATTCAAATACGAAACTGCCCTCAGTTTGAGACAACATAAAATGCGAACAGCACAACGAATAGGAACGCAACTGATAAACGAAACATTTCGTACTCTGTTTAGTTGTTCGAAATATTCGCCAAACTTCAACCCCAAAACACTGCTGATAGGGTAAAAGTGTTTGGTTGGTTGGTTGTGTGTGGGGCGAATTCGTGCGGCGAAACCGGAATCGCACTCAATTCAGTGAAGAGCACTCGTGTTTACATTGCGTTATGTTCGAGTTCGCGTTCGCGTTCGTGTTCGTGCATTGGCGAAAGGACATGTGCGGTGAGCGGCGGTACACAGTGAATAGTGGAAACACATTGTTGTGTACTCGTATTTGCGTTTTTGCGGTCAAAATCATTGAAAACTACCGCAGCAACAATCAGGAAGTGTAGTGTTCCGATACTCAATTGTTCCATTAACTGTAGCACATGCCACATGGTCCAATGAACAACAATGGACGATAACAAAGAATATTTTCGAATTGTTGCATTTTACCCAAAGCGAGGTGGTTGGTTGTTGATTCTGTTTTGGTTTTGTTTTTGCATGTTGAATGCTAAATGTTGAATGTTGAATCGTGAATGTTGTGTGTTTCATTTTCGATTCGTGATTCGCGAAACTTGAGGCAACATGAAAACAAAAGGGGCAATTTCTTAAGATAAGGGAAACAAAAATATTTATTTTCGAACTTAGTAATAGAGAGAGGGGAAATAAATGCGCCGTTGCATTCGAAAACATATGAGTGCGTTATTCAAATCAAATGCAATTATTCAATTTATATTAATATATTAATAATATTAATCTTTAATATAATGAAGACTTTACTCTCACAGTGCTCTTAATCAATTCTGTTCGAAAAACTACAATATCCTTTTAAATGTTTTATTTTTATAGAGCAACTTGTAGCGTGAGGTGCAGCAATTGTTGCAAAGCTGGCAATTATAATTGCAGTTGACATGATGTTGGGGTTTCGTTTAAGTTAACGCTTAAGTGTGGGGTTGGGATTGGGGTTTCGTGCTGCATTCAACGCGGAAACCAAAAATGGGCAACACACAACAGCTAAATTGATGCTTAAACAATATTAAATCTGGAAAAGAAAGTGAGGAAACGCAAAGGACGAACAGAACTTAGAAAACTGTTGCATGCTTGTGTGTTGGAAATGTCATTGTGTGTGCCATTTTGCTTATTCTGCCTCAATTCATACGATGGCGTTGATATAACCTTGTGACATTTCAGTTACAAGTACCAACTCCTTTTCTACTCCATTTCTACTCCTTTTCTACTCTTTTTCTACTCCATATTTGCTTTTTATTATTTGTCTTTATTCAATTCTTATTTTTATTTTATTTTAATTTTATTTTTATTTTGTTGTTAAGAACGAGTAAACTAAATAAAGTTCTGCTGCAAGGCGACACAAGCTCTGCAGCGCTTTTGTGCCACTAAAGTGTTACCCACTGGGATCGGTATGGCAACGTTGCTGCTTTAAGGTACGAGCATTCCTCTTGATTTATTTTTGTTATATTTTTTATTTTATTTTATTTTATTTTTTTTCTTGCTCTCCACTTCTATTTCTTGCCACACATATAAAGTGTGAGAAAACTTAAAAACTTTTGTCAGCAAAATAAAAATAAGCAGCAGCTCAAGCAACAGAAAGACGAAAAAAGTTGCAGAAAGTACGAATTTTTCACATCCATATCAGATTAAAGTTTATCTCAGCATCTGGGAAGAGGAAGACGTAGTATTGTGCACAAGTATGCGGGCTGCTTAAGACTTTTCTTCCTCTTTCTCTACTCGATGTACAATATTTAGTTTTATTTATATTTGCTCCTCTAAGTTTTAGAGCATTTGACGGGTGACGGGTGACGGGTAACTGCAAGCTGCCAACTGCAAATGGGTGAAGCAGCCTTTTTAATAAAATTTACTTTAAAATGGAAATTAAGGACAATTGACAAATTATGGCGAGTTGAATGTGAAAGAAGTCCTTTAATGGCAACGAAACTTCACAGGATAAAAACGAAAGTAAAACTTGTACAGATTTTAAGAATTAATTGTTACACATTTTTTTAACAGTTTATGAAATAATTATAAGAAGAAGTATTTATTGCATTTAGTTAAATTGCAATTTCTACTTATTTGAGTAAAACGGACTAAACATCACTTCTATATAACGCAGGCAGTAGCTTCACGCATACCTGTAGACCGAAATTAACTTTGAAAAAGACTTATAAATTAAATATAGAACAATTTTGGAAAATAACTCAGAGATCATTTTTCAGGAAAAATTAACGCCTTCCTGTAGATTAATTCCAAAAACTCCCTGGGTTTCACAAAGCATGCTTCCAAATATCCTAGCCCATTAAAGGAGAGATTTTATACTTTTTCGGGACAGAAAACTATCGGTTAATGGCGGTTGTTAAAATTAATAGAGTAATCAATTAAATACACTTAGGATTTACTTGTCCTAAATAATGTAACTATTGTTAGGAGTTACTTCTCGTGATAAATGTTAGTATCCTTATGAGATACTTTTTTCCTAATTAACATACGAATCGTTAGGAGTTACTTTTTTCCTAATTAACATACGAATCGTTAGGAGTTACTTTATTGCCAGCAAACAATTTCCATCACTATACTTCCATCTTTCTTTGATATTCTGTTGAACTGTACCATATCCACGGCTTTCGCTGTAGACGATATTTCATTATCGATGTATTTATGTGCATATAGTTCATCGGTTTAGTTTGAAAGGCTTTCAGCTTCTTTCTCCCTGCCTTGGTTATGGTCTGGATGGAATGATAAATTAAAATTAAGATTCTTGTATCTTTATGCTGGCCAGGAGATGAAGAAGAAATCTTTCCGTTGACCATAAAGAGCGCTTATTCGCCATTTTACTGCCACATTCTTGGCTTATCAGATGCCAGTTGCCTCTACATTTTTTTACTAGTTTCGATTTTCAGTTAAAGATTTAAGAAGTTTAAGTAGCCGATTGGCTGTCAATAAGAATCACCAAAATTACATACACCCTTATTTGACTTACAATTAACCGGCACGCCTCTTTAATCGCTAAAAGTTTAGTCTGAAGAACACTGGTTTCATTAGGTAGCCTTATGAAGTGGTTTGTGTATGGAAATAGCGGAAAAATTTCCAAATGTTTTGTATTTAGTTACACACATGCAATGTCTTCAATGTACATATCGGAGATGATGAAGATTTATGCCGTGGATTTATAGCCAAAGCATATGACTGACATCTTTGTCTTTCTCTTTTGACATAAAAATTGCGACAGTAGTCGATAAAAGATCCAGCTAACTGGTCAGTACTAGCAAATATTGGAAGAAGTAAGTACAATTAGTTATTTCGATCTGTTTTATGACGTGTGAATGAGAGACGATTAATTTAGGTAAACGATTTGCTGTTTAGGGTTTAGTTTTAGTACGGAAATCTCGCAGGAAAGATAAATGGAAATAATATATTAATGATATATGTTAAATAATAGCAGCAAGTGAGAACATCATGATTCAATTCTAATATTAAGTAAATATATCGTAGTAAAATATCGAGTCGACATAAATAAGTTATCTTAGTTACATATAACAAAGTAAGCAACCTTTATTTTAATTATATAAATTGCAAATTTTTCATAAAATATTTTTTTATTATTAGTCAATATCATTAAAAACATTTTCATATTAAAGCCAGTCTTGACTACAAGTTTCTCGTACTTAATTTCAATGCCTTTCGAATGCCTTGTAAATACATTATTTTCTATTTATTTTGCATTTGTAGTGTGTTTAGAGAGAAGCCAATGACAGTTGCTGTATTAAATGCAATATGTCTAAAATATATGAGGACAACAAATACAAAATGAAACTTTTAAGTTGTAATAACAAAAATTAAATGCTGCCATATTTTCTACTTATTTTGATTATAAAAATAACAAGAATCCATCGTCATCGAAATGCTAAAGTAAAAATCTATAAAAAAGAATTAAACCAAAAGCTACATCAACAACGGCAATAGCAACAGCAACAGCAACACCAACAGCAACAACATCAGCAACAGCAAAAGCAACAGCAATAGCAACATTTTGGAGCCATCGCATTACTTTTATCTTTCAGTCTGAAGTTGGCCAAATGCCAAGCAATTTTTCGTCCTGAATTCTGTCCATAAAAAATGCAAAGGAACAACAACCAAAAAATTGTACCTTCGTGTTGCTTCGTTGTGGCACATTTGGAGAACTCACAACAGCTTGGCTGGATGGTGGACGCCAGCAGCGGCCGGGGCGCTGTGCGGGGCGCATAAATAAAAAATTAGTGGAATGGGCCTCCTGAAATGACTGACATGGCATGGCTTAGTTTTATTTGTTTTCGTTTTTATTTGCAGTTTGTTTTAATATATTTTATTATTTCGTATTTATTTAGTTTTTTAATTTGAAAAATTTGCTAAAATATTGAAATAAAATATTAAATTTTTTTTTATTTATATGAGTTACATGCACTGTTTTTTATGAGAGTCGTCCTTTGATTTAT